TCTTCCGGGACGGCCGGGACCTTCTTCCGGGACGGCCGGGACCTTCTTCCGGGACAGGGCGGGAAGAGGTCACGCAGACCCCGCCCCATGTGGCTGAGCCGTGCATCACGTGCGCCCCGCCCCAGCCCCGCCGGAAGTGACGCCGGGCTGGGGTTGCCGGAAGAAGTGGCGAAGTTACTTTTCGCTTTTCGCGGGGCGATCCTGGGGGGGGGCGGCTTGGAGGCGGCGGGCGCGGGCAGTGGACGGGGGGCAGAGGGGGTGAGGGAGACGGGCGACGCTTCCGGGGCAGCCGCGGACAGGAGCCTTCCCGCCCGGCGCTGGAGCTGCGGCGTGCGCAGCCATGAGCCGGGTAAGGGGGGAGGGGCAGGGGAGGTCAAGGGGGCCTGGGGGAGGGGAGGGGAGGGGCTGGGGGGGGTCCGGGCTGCGGCGGGAGGGGCCGCTCCGGGGGGGGGGTGGGGGCGGGGCGTGAGCCCCTCGGTGGCCCGTCTCAGGCTCCCCCGTTCCTTCCCCAAGGCTCCCCTGCGGTGACCCACCATGGCCTCCCCCGCGATCCTCGGCACCCCTGCGGCCCCGGCCCCGGCCCCCACCCCCGGTGAGTGCTTCCAGGGGGAGCCCCCAGCCCCTCAGCGGCGGAGGCCCATTTTACAGATGCGGTAACTGAAGCCGTAGGTAGAGAGTGACTCCTGGCAGCCGGAGGTCACCGATATCAGAGACAGGATTTGAACTCGGGTCTGGGGATGCCAAATTCATCCAGCCAGGGGCCACTGGGGGGCACCACAGTGCACGGGACTGAGGGCCTGGAGTCAGGAAGACCTGAGGTCAGATTCCGCCCCAAAGCCTTATGGCTGCGTGACCCTGGGTGAGTCACTGCACTCTTTTGCCTCAGTATCCTCATATGTGAGATGGAGACCGTGACGGCGCCTGCTTCATGGGGTTAGCGTGATGCTGTCAGTGAAGTGCTTCGTGGGGTGCCTGGCACGCAGTAGGACTGCGTACCTCCTCACCCTCTCGGGACCCTTAGTCTAGGTAGAAGCAGCTGGCTGCCCCTCCCCCCGCCGCCCCCCGGGGGCAGGGGTGCCTTGTTCGGGGGAGCCTCTCCAGACAAGCTGAGGCAGCAGCTCCCCCCTCCCTCCCCCCCAGGAGATGGTGACGACGGGGCCTCAAAGCTCATAAAGGAAGAGGGGCCTGAGCCCGGGATGACCGGGACCGGATCCCCCGGCACCGAGCCCCACGGCCCCATCCCCGCCGTCCCGGCTGGGGAGGGCTCTGCCTGCGGCATCGGTAAGACCCCCGCCAGTGTCCCACCGTCGCCCCTCCGCCCCGGGCCACTGGCCCCCGGGGACCCGCCTGCTCCCCCCCCATCCCCCCCCCCGCCCCCCCCCCCCCGTCCCACTGGCCCCCGGGGGCCCGCCTGCGTCCCCCCCCATCCCGCCGCCCCTCCCAGCCGCCCGCCTCTCCGCCTCCCCACAGCAGAGGAGCTGGAGCCCGAGCGGAAGCGCAAGAAGGGCCCGGCCCCCAAGATGCTGGGCCACGAGCTGTGCCGCGTGTGCGGGGACAAGGCGTCGGGCTTCCACTACAATGTGCTCAGCTGCGAGGGCTGCAAAGGCTTCTTCCGGCGCAGCGTGGTGCGGGGCGGTGCCCGGCGCTACACCTGCCGCGGGGGCGGGGCCTGCCACATGAACGCCTTCATGCGCCGCAAGTGCCAGGAGTGCCGCCTGCGCAAGTGCCGCGAGGCGGGCATGCGGGAGCAGTGTGAGTGCGGGGAGGCCGCGGGCGGGCTGCCGGGCGTGGGGCGTGCTGCTCAGGCCCCGCATCTCGTCTCCTTCGCAGGCGTCCTCTCGGAGGAGCAGATCCGTAAGAAGAAGATCCAGAGGCACCAGCCGGCGGCGCCAGGGCCGGTCTCGGGGGGCGCGGCTGCCCCCGGGGTGCCGATCCCCGGGCCTGCTGGCTCCCCGGCCGCCTGCTCGGAGGCTGGCGGGCCGGGCCCCGCCGACGGTGCCGGCGCCCAGCTCACGCCCGACCAGAAGCTCATGATCCAGCAGCTCGTGGCGGCCCAGCTGCAGTGTAACAAGCGCTCTTTCTCTGACCAGCCCAAGGTCACGGTAATGACCCTGCGGTGCCCGTGCGGGGGCTGGGGGGCTGGGACTCACCCCGTGGCCCCCGCGGGAGTCACCCGCTGCCTCTCCCCCGCAGCCCTGGCCGCTGGGGGCCGACCCCCAGTCGAGGGACGCGAGGCAGCAGCGATTCGCCCACTTCACGGAGCTGGCCATTATCTCCGTGCAAGAAATCGTGGATTTTGCCAAGCAGGTGCCGGGCTTCCTGCAGCTGGGGCGCGAGGACCAGATCGCGCTGCTCAAGGCCTCCACCATCGAGGTTCTCCACCATGGGGGGGGGGGGTGGCTGCCGGGCCTAGCCCGGCTTTCTCCATGTTGGCCAGGGATGGGTGTGGGGCTCTGAGCGGGGTCAGCCCGGGGTCTTACGGGCCATGAGGGAGCCCCACTTCTGGTATACACCGGGCCTCAGAATGGGGGCCGAGAGGGATAAAGGCATCATGGGATTGTTGGGGGCGGGGCGGGTCCGCTCCCTCATCATGTGATGGTGAGTCCCAAGCCCAGATGGGGCCAGGTTCGGGGGGTCCAGAAGGTGAATCCCCTCACTGGACAAGTGGGCCAGGCAGAGAGGGGTGTGCTGAGGCCCCGGGGCACCGGGCCGGGCAGCTCTGACCTCCCTGCCGTCCACCTAGATCATGCTGCTGGAGACGGCGCGGCGGTACAACCACGAGACAGAATGCATCACGTTCCTGAAGGATTTTACCTACAGCAAGGACGACTTCCACCGAGCAGGTTCAGTGGGGGGCCGGGGGCTGGGGGCCACGGATGGAGGGCAGCGGGGAGGAGGGCCGGCGTCACTCAGCTTCCTCAGTTCTAGGGCTGGGGCCCTGGATGAGACCTGTGCGTAAGGGGAGGGGACGGCCTATGAGCATGGGGGAGGAGGAGAGCAAAGTCAGAAAGGCATTTGGTCTCTAGGGAGCACCTAATGTGCGCCCTGACCGTGTATGTGCGCGTGCGTGCGTGCTGCGTGTGTGTATGTGTGTGCGTGTGTTTGCATGCGCGTGTGTGCGTGCGTGCATGTGCGCGCACTCGCTCCACGGGGTATCTAAGTCTCCGGAGGAGGGTGTGCTCCCAGCAGACGGGCCCAGGAGGGGCTCGCGGAGTGCCCGTCAGCCGCCTGCTCTCCGCCCCCACCTCCAGGCCTGCAGGTAGAGTTCATCAACCCCATCTTCGAGTTCTCCAGGGCCATGCGGCGGCTGGGCCTGGACGACGCGGAGTACGCGCTGCTCATCGCCATCAACATCTTCTCTGCCGACCGGCCCAACGTGCAGGAACCGAGCCGAGTGGAGGCCCTGCAGCAGCCCTACGTGGAGGCTCTGCTCTCCTACACACGCATCAAGATGCCCCAGGTAGCGAGCGAGCCCGGCCGCGCCCTTCCCGCCCTCCACCCCAGATAGCGGAGCCGGCGGGGCGCCTGGCCGGGCCCTCACGCCTCCTCCGTCCCCCCAGGACCAGCTGCGGTTCCCGCGGATGCTGATGAAGCTGGTGAGCTTGCGGACACTGAGCTCCGTGCACTCCGAGCAGGTGTTTGCCTTGCGCCTCCAAGACAAGAAACTCCCCCCTCTGCTGTCTGAGATCTGGGACGTCCACGAGTGACCAGGGAGTGGCTCCCACTGGCCTGTCCCCAGCACCGCCCCTGCTCCTCGGGCCCTGCCCGGCGGGAGCCCGGAGCAGCCCCGCAGGCTAGGCCCGGGGCTCCGGCCACGGGGCCCACGGCGAGCTCCTGAGTGGGGACCTAGGTCACCAGGTGGTCCGAGGCCCTGCTCCTGACGTTGTCTTCCTGGGGAGGGGTGGGCGGGTCATTGACCCTTGACCGTTGACCCCCGGCACTTACCTTTCCCGTCCTCCCCTGCTTACACAGCGCGATGCACCTTGAAGGGAAGGGGTGGCCTGATTCTCCGCCTAGGGTCAAGGGGGGCAGGGCCCTCGGGTCCTGGGGTCCTCTGTTTCCTGTGGCCCCAAGGGAGGTGAGAGGGCTTCTCCTCCACTCCTTTTATTTAATAAACAAGACAAAGTAAAATCTTAATAAAAACGTCGAAGAGAATCAAGTGAGCCCTGGTCAGAACCCTCTACCTCCCGTCGTGGGCAGAGCCGGAGAGCGGGACTGGTGAGGGGAGATCTGGGCACTCTGACCCTAACCCTCAGAGACCCCCAGGGACGGGCAGGGAGTTCACTGGCCTCCTCGGAGACCCCAGGGACG